CACAGTGTTACAATGTCCTGGGTCGCCTGACGCGGGGGGCGCGCGCGAACCCAGGGGCTCTCGGGGCCCCTCATTCGGCTCCCCGGGCCTGCTGGGCCTCGGAGTTGAGGCGGGCGGGTCTCTTGGGACCCAGGCCAAGCCCTCCATGATGTCATTTTGTCTCCCGCCTAATTGTGGGGTGGGAGTGGAACGGCGGTGTCAGCTGGAAGGGCCTTTACCGGGGAGGGAGGCGACCCATGCAGAAGGAAAGAGATTCTCCAGGTCACAGCGAGCGGGAGGCCGAAGCCTGGAAGACACTTGTTCAAGCCCTTTTGGATTCAGGTTTGCCAGTGGGCATTTCTTAACATCAGGGGAAGCACAGAGCACCCCAAACCCTCTCGCCCGACCTAGGAAGGGTGCTGGGGCAGGGAGGGACTCTTTTGTGACCCACCAGCTGGGTTCCGGGCCCCAGCTCGGTTTAGTTTCAGAGACCTGTCTTCCTGTTCCACATGACGAGTTTGGGGCAGCTGGGGTTGAAGGCGAGGGGAAGAGAGACCGCTGTGTATGAAGACCGCTCTGTCAGCAGCCCCTGGGGCGGAGGCAGGAACTGCGGTCTCCATTTTACTTATTCCCCCAGAGAATTAATGACAGAGTCGTGCCAGGAACCAGGTTTGTGGGCTCCAGGTCCCTGCCTTACACCTTTGCGCCTGGTGCCTGAACTCGGGTTTTCAGCCAGCTTGGGAGTCACAGAGGGCAATGGGTTTCTGCCATGTGCCCTCTCTGGATTCATGAGGCCCAGATAATCTTAAACTCTCCATCAGGTGGTTTTTGCCTCCTTCAGGCCCAGCATATAGACCTGAGAAGCAATCGTTGCTGGCTTTCCCTAGATAGAGTTCTCTCAGCGAGGAAGCATCTTATCCAAGGACAATGCTTAGGCACAGGGTGTGTCTTCCCAGGGCAGCTCCAGTTCCCAGGAGTTGTTTTCTGGTCAGGCATTTGTCAAACCTTTTCCTGATTTCTGGTTCAGGAAGTATTACTCCAGGCAACAACCAAAGCCCCAGACAGCCCCTAGGTCCTCTGCCACTTCTCCCCTGGGGCTTAGTGGAGGAACCCTCCCCCTACCAGGTGAGGAACGGGTTCTGTCCCCTGGAACCCCATAACATTCAGTTTGATTTTTGACCACTTGCTGCACCAGTGCCCTACTTCCTGCTCAGCTTTTGACTCACCCCACCTGGAGCAGAGCCCAGCACATGGAAGGGCATAGAAAGGGTGTGTTGGACCTACATGTGGTTGCCACCACTGACTTAACCTCTGCTTTTCCATCTGAGATTATGAGATGAGGACTTGAAGGTGCAGGTTTGGAGCCTGGCTCTGTGGACTTGGCAAGTGACATAACCCCCATGAGCCTCAATTTCCACATCTAGTAAATGGGGATAATGAGAATGTGTGGGAAGCAGACAGCACCACGTTGGTGATAGAAGAATATTATCTCACAGAATTCTCCCAGCTGGCTGGGTTGCTGTCCTCATTAAATAGAATATTGGAGCACCAGAGAGTGTTCCCACAGAATCTGTTTCATTCTCGAAGGAACATTTGCTGAACTTCTATTAGGAGCTGGGTACTGGAGAACCAAAGATAGTTTCTGTCAGAATGGAGTCTGGGGGAAGTTGATTTTTAAAACCAGCTTCCTTCTTTTATTAGTATCTTGTAGAATTTTTGCCTCCCACTTTGCGATGGTGGAGGAACCCATGAATTGGGTTGGAAATGGCAGGACAAGGCTGAATTCCAGTTCCTTCTGTGACTGTGTGTATTGCTGGGTTTAGACACCATCCGCCCCTTTCGGACTTCTAAAAAATTTACTTATATTAGCATTTGTTATCGACTAATAGGCAGCAGCTTTGCATGGTTAGTAATTCATTTCTGTAGCCAGCCATTCCCAGAACAAACATTTCTTAAGGTATTTTGGTGCCACCCCCAAAAGGTCCTACAGATTCAGAGGTGGAGCTGACCTCTGTCCATGTTGTCAAGGAGACGGGCAGTTGCAGCCTAAGGGCCTATGTTATGAGACAGGATTTCCAAGGTGCTGTGGGAGTGTAGGAGTGACTAGGAAGATGCTGAGAAGGGGACAGGAACATGGACACAGAAGGAGGACCTCTTCCTTCTTTTGGCACACGGCCTGTGCTTGCCTTCCTTGTTTGGAGATGTGTAGGCTTTTTTCACTTACAAATGCCTGACTTAGGTATTACCTGACAGAGGTGACCTGATGGATTTGGCAAAAGTGCTTCTGTGAGCACCTGACATCCCTGAGACTGAACAGCATGATCTCCATTTCTGTAACCACTAAACCTGATAAATAGGAAGGTTTTGGAGCAACTTGGAAAATTACCTGTTGGAAAATAAAAGCATCCAGAATTTTAAGCTGCTTGTACTTTGATTTTTCCCTCTGTAAACTAGGCTTGTCTGTTGGCAAGGATTGAGAGGGGGTATGCAAAAATGGACATAGTTACTGAGATAATGTTTTAAAAATGTTTTTCTCAAATAACCAATATTTCTTAAAATCCTGGTGCTTAATAATTGCGTACTTTTATCATAAGCTTAATCCTTAAAATATCCATGCAAGTTTAAAAAATTTTGTTACGGAAAAGAAAATATTAAATGGGTGTCTGGTACTGAATATTATAATGTTCTTGATAAAGTCTTAACTTTTTTTCTTGTAGCTTTTGAAATCATTAGGGTGTTACTGAAAATAAAAGAATAAAGAAAAAATAGCCCATAACCCCATTTCATTAAATTTTTTTTTAAAAGGAAGAGATGAAAATACCTACATTTTACCTACAGTAAAAGCCTACCTCTCCAAAACCTTTGGCTGCTGCCTCCACTGTCCATCCATTGTGTACCATCAGGTGGAGACACGTGCGTGACCTTTAGCTTATTCTTCCTGCAGTGAGGAGCTGGATGAGCTACACTACCAGGACACAGATTCAGATGTACCAGAGCAGAGGGACAGCAAGTGCAAGGTCAAATGGACCCACGAGGAGGTGAGTGACACTGAGGGGCACTTGTGGGGCGTGGGGGTGATGGCAGCAGAGGGGCTGGACTGAGACTGAGCCTGGGTTGTGTCTGCCTGATGCCCAAATGGTGCGATGAAGAGGAAGAGGCGGTGAAAGAAGCAGATGGGCCCTCTGGTTCTCCCTGATGCATCTCAGAGCATTCCTGGGCACTCCCAATATTGAGGACTCTTGAGGGGATATGCCTCTGAGACCTCAGGGCCAGCAATTAATGTTGTGTTTGTTGGAAGCTGGCATGTTCTGCATCATGGACATTAATTGTGCTTCATGTCCTTTAACTGCTAGGAGGTTTAGCAAAATCTGCAACCCCTCTTCATTATTATTTTTAAAAAAGTAATTGTATTGTGTCTGTGATACCGAGCTCTGTTCTTTAATCAAGTTTATGGAAATATAATTTATATACAATCAAATGCACCTTTTAAAAGTGAGCAGTTCCAGCAGTTTTGACAAATGTATATCACCCATGTAAGCACCACCCTGATTATCCCCAGAAGTTCCCTTTATGGTCCATCTTTCCCAACTCCAGGCAGTCACTGATCCAATGTCTCTTCGATTCGTTTTTCCTGTTCTTGAATGTGCTATAAATGAAATCACACAACTGTACTTTTTTTTGTCTAATAAAGCTACTTTTTTGGCTAAAGAAGTAGAACCAGAGAAAGGTTTAGAGATGTGTTCAAGATTGCCCAAGAAAGCCAGCAGTCAAGACCAGAAAGCCAGGTTCCCTGGATCCTAATACAGGGCACTTGCTATGATGACCTGCTGCCTTTGTTTCACCTCATAAACACTTTGAAAATTATTGTGGAAATTATTATGAAAATGGAACAGAGAAAACCTAAGTGAATACAAAGTATGTTCCTACAATTTCCGTTCTTTTCCCATTGATGTTATCAGAATATTAAAAAAAACTTGGAGGTATGTGCATAGATAAGGAAGAAGGGAGGCTTGTAGTTAATGAATGTTGTAGGGAAATTGCCTTTTCCTCAGGCTACTGTTATTCACATTATGTTTGAATGTATGACAGCTGTATTTTTATCTGGCTTCTTTTGTTCAGCATGATGTTGCATGATTCAGTAATTTGTTCATTTGTTATTGCTGAATATATGGATAGACCATAGTATGTTTCACTTGTTGATGAGCATTTGGGCTGTTTCCAGTTTTTTTGGCTATTGTGGATAGAGCTGTCTGTGTCTTTTTTGAGGATTATGTTTTCATTTCTCTAGAGAGGGTATTTAGGTATGCTCATGGGGTAGGTACATGTTTAGTTTTGTAGACACTGGCAGATCTTTTTCTAACTTTGTTGTACCATTTTAGACTCCTACTAGCCTTCTCTTTTTATTCTTCCTCTGTTTTCATGGATGTGTTTAGTCTTTTTCTTTTCCTTTTTTTTCCCTCCTTACTGTATGAGTTGTAAAACCCTCTTAAATCAGAAAAGCTATTTCTTCAAAGGAGTGCCAAGCTAGACTTTTCTGTTCATCCCACTGTGGACCAGAGACTGTATTTCACTCTTGCAGGCTCAGAAGAACAATCAAGATGGAGTCTCTACCCCAGAGCATCCCTTTGCTTGGGATGGAGAGATAAGACCCGGCACAGACCGTGGACGTGCCAATGGCCATCACGGTGCTGGCAGAATTGGCGTCCTTTGTGCCCACTATGTTGTCTCTTCTGTCTTACACTAAGCCTCCCAACACGTAGGAGGCACATGTACTTGTCAAAATGCCTTTAGACGTTAAGGTTAAAGGTTGTCTGAGAGGTTAAGGGAAGTTTCATGGGTGAGGATTTGGGAATTCAGTCAGGGAGGTGTGCAAAACTATGGATGAGTCAGAATAGGAAACGGGTTGTAGGTGGAGAAAAGCAAGTAGAGGAGCCCCAGTTTGGCTGGAGGGCAATGTCCTTAAAGAGGAAGAATAGTTGGTGTAGATGGAAAGATTGATTGGGGTCTAGTCCCAGAAGACCTTGAATGTTGGGCTCGGAAGGTAGCATGGTTTGGCTGGTATTGTGGAGCCACTGAAGGTTTTTAAAGCAGATGAGTGACGGTAGCCAGGCTTCAGGGAGCTAATCTGCTGTGGGTAGGGCGGATTTGGAGTAGAGATTTGGGGACAGCCTGAGCCCGAGGGAGTGGGGAAGGGGGCCATGCTGGGCAGGCAAGAAAAGATGGCTGTGAAGGGAACAGGACCAGGACAGTGTGGGAAGGAGGTGACAGGTGGAGGAAGCCCATGGGGTCCAGGAGGAGTTGGAGACATAACATCAAGTGTCCTCGTCAGTTGTCAGGGAGGACAGTGGTGCTGGAGGGGGACCTGGGGGACGTGGGCAGAAGGCAGGGGTTGGCCTCGCCAGGTTGGGTGAGCAGCAGAGGAACGCAGGGTGTCCGGGGCTGGCTGTGTCGGTGTGGGCTGGCTCAGCTACAGGATTTATGGGGACTTTGTCCAGCTGGTGCTGGTCTGTGGCCAGGCTGCAGTTGAGGGTCTGGATTTCTGTGGTGGCCTTTTTTTCTAACTAGGAGAGAGAGAGAGAGAAAGAGAGAGAGAGAGTGTGTGTGTGTGTGTGTGTGTGTGTGTGTGTGTAGTACACTACACTAATATTAACTTACATACACTAACTTATTTCTCTACTACGTACCTACTCGTCCGTCCGTTCGGACCTAGAGACAAGTA